CACAAGTAGGGCTGGCTGGTAGGAGGAAGAGAGCCCCTACTGTAAACTGTTTATCTGGGATTAGACTTGGCAATAGTTACCCAAGGCAGAATGAGAACTACTGATGTCCTCCTGTTCCTCCCGATTGCATCTGGGTGCTGGAGGCCAAGGGGTCCTGTGTTTTTGACTGCAAAAGTCTGGAGTAGATTCTCTGCTCCTCTGAGTTGGGATGGGGAGGAAGAGAGACATCTTGGTTCAGATATCATAGACTTTTTGCTTTTCTTACTGAATTTTCATAGGTAATCTTGAATGTTTCTTTATTTGCTGTTTACCTTTAGGACTGTTTCCAGAGGCTTTTAATGTTTTGTTTTGGTTTTTATCATTTTCATTGGGGAGCAGATCAGCAGAGCTCCTCACACTGTCATGCCAGAAGTCATTCTCCTGTTCTTAGTGTTTTTTTATTTTACCCATTCTGATTAGGTTTGTGATGATAGCTCATTTTGGTTTTAATTTGCATTTCTGTGATGGCTAATGACATTGAACATCTTTTCTTGTGATTATTTGCCATTTGTACATCCTCTTTGGGGAAACACCTGTTCCTGTCATTTGTCCATTTTCTAGTTGGAGTATTTTTTTTTGTCCTGTTGAATTTTTGAGTTCTTTACATAGTTTAGATAATAGTTGTTGGATATGTGATTTACAAATATTTTCTCTCAGTCTACAACTTGTCTTTTTAACTTCTTAGAGTGCTTCACAGAAAAGTTAATTTTGATGAAGTCCAATTTTTCATTTTTTTTCCTATTATGGATCTTTTGGTGTCAAGTCTCAATACTCTGTGCATAGCTCTAGATTATGAAGGTTTTCTCCTGTGTTTTTTATACAAGTTTTATACTTCTGCATTTTACATTTAAGTCCATTATCCATTTTGAGTTAACTTTTGTATAACATGTAAGGTTTAGGTTGAAGTCCTCTTTTTTAGTGGGGGGGTTATCACCTTTGTGATTCACCATTAAATTGCTTTTGCCAGGGATGCCTGGGTTGCTTAGTCAGTTAAGCATCTCCGTTCGGCTCAGGTCACGATCCCAGGGCCCTGAGATTGAGTCCTGCATTGAGCTCCTTGCTCAGTGTGGAGCCTGCTTCTCCCTCTGCCTGCTGCTCCCCTTGCTTGTGTGTGCTCATGCGCTCTCTCTCTCTCTGACAAATAAATAAATATAATAATTATAAAAAAATAAATTGCTTTTGCATATCTTTAAAATAAGAGTTTGGCATATTTGTGTGTCTACATTTTGGATCTCTGTTTTGTTCCATCAATCTGTGTGTCTTTTCCTCTGCCATTACCACACTTGACTGCTGTAGCTGTATAATAGGCCTTTATATTAGAGGGATTTTTGGTAGATTGTTTTGGTAGGCCTTGTGCCTTCCATATAAATTTTAGAGTAAGCTTGCCATTATTTTGTTTCTATGCTAAGATCTTGATAGGAGTTGCATTTAAACCTGTAGAAAATTTGGAGAGAATTGACATCTTTATTGAGTCTTCCAGTACATGAATATGGTATGTTGCTGTTTTTGTTCATCAGCATTTTGTAATTTTTGGCAAACAGATCCTGTGCATACTTTGTTAAGTGTATACTTAAGTATTTAATTTTCTTGGGAGTAATTTTAAGCAGTATTTTTCTAAGTTTCAGTTTCTACATGTTTATTTTTAGTATATAAAAAGTGATATTTGAGTGTCGATATTCTGTCAACATTGCTGAACTCATTTATTAGTCCCAGTTTTTGTAGATCTTCATTAGCATTTTAAGGTTTGCTTTGAGGCATTTTATCCTTTTTTTCCCTATTGTGATATATTAGTTTATTCCATAGTAACCAAATATGGGCTTTTAGGAGGCAGGCTGTTAATATCCATATGTCAGTTTTATACCCAATCATTTGATAATTTTTTTATTATAATTTTTCCCAGTTGATTCTGTTGGGTTTTTAGCTAAAGTACCATATAATCTGTAAGTAGTTATAGTTTTCAACCCTCATTTTCACCTCTTATTTTAATTGTCTAAAACCTCCAAGACTGAGTTCAATAATGGTGATTAAGGACACCTTTACCTTAATTGTAATTTTACCTTAGACTTTTAGTATCAATGCTTTTGATTTCAAAGCATTGCATCCAGGAGCAATTCATTTTATCATTAGGTAGAATGCAAATAAACTAAAATGTATAGTACATTACAGTTGTTGAGTGTTTTAGGATTGGGATGTTTTACTAAATCTTTAGGAACCGGAGGGCTGACATAAATGCTTTTTCCTTCGATAATTTTATTGTTAAAACTAAAATAATGTGGTAGGCCTTCTTGCTTTGTATATATAAATTAGTGAATAGAACTAAATTTTTTTGATTGAAAATTTTACAGTGCCTTATTTTGTTCATTCTTTTATTTTACTTGTAAATTTAGAAAACGTTGATAGGAATGTATATTGATCTCTCAGGCCTTTCCTGAAAATTGATTTTCTTCTTTTTATTTTAAGATGAATCCTTTACACATTCTTTGGGAAAACTTATTTCTTGTTATTTGCTTTCTTTTTCTGAGTTGCGGATTACAAAACAATTCTAACTAATAGAATATTCCACTAACATTCTCATAAATGAGCAACACTCCTCCATATATAGCTCCGCTTATGAGAAGTTTGGTGTGGTCATATTTCAAGGCTGCTTTGCAGAAAGCTTTATTTTACTTGCTACAATTTGAGAATAAAGATTCTGATTCTGTAGTTTACTTGCCACGTAAGCCAAGTGCCTTTAGGGTTCAAATTTTTATCTTTTTTTCCCCAGTCTTAATCATTGGGTAGTAGAAAGAACATGAACATCATGAGGACAGAAAGACCTGGATGTAAATCCCAGCTGTTCCTCTTTATTTGTATTGACTAATGGTCTTGAATAAATTAATCTCCCAAGTTTCAGTTTCCACATCTATAAAATGGGGGATAAAACACCTCAGGGGGGTGGCTGTATGTTAGGATTATGTGAGATACCACATGTAAATTCTCTGGTACAGAATTTAACTTTGTGGAATCGTTGATCCACAATAAATGTTAGCTTCCTTTTCCCTGAAACAAAATGAAATAGTGGGTGTGAAAGTTTTCTGAGCTGCACATAAATAAGTGTAAGTCATTAGCATTGCTTTCTCTTTTAGAATTGGGCATTAATAGCATGGTTTATAATCTCAGTATTATTAATATGCTTTGCTGAGGCCCTTAAGTGATAGGCACATGCTAAGGTTTGGTGATCCTTAAAGATTTGTGTTTGTTCTTGCTCCAGAAACTTTGAAAGCCCTTAGAGAAATCCTGCAGCAAACTCACATGATTATATGAAACAGTTGGCTGATTTTTAGTCTTAATTTGAAATCTAGGGCAGATTCTTAGTCTTAGTACCCATATATATGTGAAAACCAAATACCCATTTTACCTTCTTTTTATGCTATCCAGGCCCTCCCACTTTGCCCTACTCCTCCTTTCCTCCAGGAAGAACTTTGAATCTCACGGGATTTTATGAGCATAACACATACCCTGGCTTCTTCTGTTTATGTTTCTAGTTGGATTGGCTGTGATAATGACCTTATTAGTAGATGTAACTACATGTCTAAATTAAGCTTTTGTACTGTGAGTTTAAGAGGTATAGGGCCAAGGACATGAAATAATTGAACTCCAAGGACTTACTACAGCCTAATTTAGAGAGATAGTGATGATTTCTGAAAGTTTTTACCACTCAAGGACATTTAAATGTTATCTGTCAAATATTCATTAAGTATTTATGTGCATAGCACTTTCTAGGAACTCAAGGGATGTAAAAGAAGTATGCTCTAGTCCTGAGTTTCTTGCCTTCCAGGTTAGTCTAGTTAGAATTCAAAACAACTCAAATATTGAAATGTCAGACGTTTAAGGAACTTAAATGCAAAACATTACCAATGATAATGTGCTATGAAAGTCAGAGACTTTGTCCTATTTATTTCATACAAAATATTATGAATTTTGGTTTCCTCACCTGAAAAGTAGATACACAAATATACCCTTTGAGGTCATTGTGATGTTTAAATGAGACTGGGTATATAAGACCCAGCTATTATACATAAAATCCACATATTCTTTCTGCAGTTTGGTCTGGTTTTAATGAAAAAGTGATGTATTGTAAAATGGTATATTTGAAGTAAGTAAGTAAGAATTGCATGTTGTAAAATGATATATTGTAAAAAAAAAAAAAAAATGCAGGCAGAACAAAATGAAAAGTTTTCTTACTTGAGACCTTAGATTCTTCCCTATGTACTTCAGTACCAAGAGTACAGTTTTTAATATTTTCTAGTAATTATTCTGTGTGTATACAATTATACTTTTATAACTTCTGGGAACATTATACATGTTGTCTTGTATTCTGATTTTTTTAAAAAAAATTGATTTTGACCATCTTTCCTGTTAGCAAATACAGATATTTTATACATTGTTTTATTTATTTCTTTATTTTTTAAAGATTTTATTTATTTATTTGACAGAGAGACACACCGAGAGAGGGAACACAAACTGGGGGAGTGGGAGAGGGAGAAGCAGGCTTCCCCTTGAGCAGGGAGCCTGATGCGGGGCTCAATCCCAGGACCCTGGGATCATTACCTGAGCCAAAGGCAGATGCTTAACGACTGAGCCGCCCAGGCGCCCCTCTTTTTTTTTTAATTTTTAAAAAGATTTTATTAGAGAGAGAGTGCGTGTGTGCACAGGCGCACACATGAACTGGGGAATGGACAAAGGGAGAGGGAGTAGCAGGCTCTCCGCTGAGCAGGGAGTCCCAGGACTCTGGGATTATGACTTGAGCTGAAGGCAGCCACTCAACCTACTGAGCCATCCCGGCTCCCTGTTTCATTATTTTTACTGATTTCTGGGTATTCTATTGTTTGAGTGTATAATAATACAACCTTTGTGTTCCCTCAGCACTCATTTAATGTGTTTATTTAAAATATGTTAATTTACAACTTTCCTCTCCTTAGGGTCAACTCACTATCCAGAAAGTCCATCCTCCCCAGAAGGGACAGAAAGGAAGACCTCTTTGTAAGAAAGGCTTGGGTGTCCCATGAACCAGACAGCAGAAAACCGATTGGGGTGCAGCAGGACTCCAGAGCCAGATATAAGGCTCAGAAAAGGGCACCAGCTGGATGGTACAAGGAGAGGTGATAATGACAGCCACCAAGGAAATTTGGAACCTGTTTTAGGGGCATCTGTTCTTTCTTCCCACCATAAAAAAGTAAGTTAAAGGGGAAGGATGGTAAGTAAAACAATGTTTATGGGAATGTGGTTGGAGGGAAGATATTTAGAAAAGAAAAAAAAAAAAAACTACGGGGGCGCCTGGGTGGCTCAGTTGGTTAAGCCACTGCCTTCGGCTCAGGTCATGATCCTGGAGTCGCGGGATTGAGTCCCACATTGGGCTCCCTGCTCAGCGGGGAGTCTGCTTCTCCCTCTGACCCTCCTCCCTCTCATGCTCTCTGTCTCTCATTCTCTCTCTCTCAAATAAATAAATGAAATCTTTAAAAAACAAAACAAAACAAAAAAAAAACTATGGGGATGTTGCTGGAGAGAGGATGGGTTTTGAAAAGGAATATTGAGCACATTTGTAAGTTTTTGTTCAGGATAAATAAAGTCTCATTTTTAAATTAGCTAGGTATTATTTGATTTTATAGTTAATCCTTTTCTGCTGACCCTGAAATCATACTTAATCTGCTTTATCTTGTTTGAGAAAGGAAATGGATTTTTTTTTTAAAGACTATTTATTTATTTGACAGAGAGCACAAGCAGGGGGAGTGGCAGGCAGAGGGACAGGGAGAAGCAGGCTCCCTGCAGAGCAGGGGGAGCCCGATGTGGGACTCGATCCCAGGACCCCGGGATCATGACCTGAGCCAAAGGCAGTCACTTAACCAACTGAGCCACCCAAGTGCCCGAGAAAGGAAATGGATTTTTGTAGTTACTGTTTAATCTTTATAATTCAACCATGTTTTAGTTATGACATATTATCATTTATATTTTTGGAGAAATTCTAACTCTGTGCTAGAACTACTCCAAATATGGTTTATCTCCAGTGTCTTCCTTGGGAGTCACTAGAATTCTGGGAACAGAAGGCAGATTTTCATCTTTCTTTTTACTTCCCAGAGAAAAGAGCAGCTTTTAAATTATTTAAGTAACTATGCCTAGAGAGCAAAGGTATAAGTATCTATGAACAGCATCATCAGAAAGTCATTGTTTTATACATTTTGTTATGTGCTTTGTATCCTTGGAATTCTGTAGCATGTGTTCACTGTTGTGACTCTAGTACAATGTTTCTCAAACTGTAGGTTGTTTCCATTAGTGGTTTGTAAAATTGATTTTGGTACTACAAGTAGTGTTTAAAAAATTAAATAGCAAGAGAACAGTGAGGTGCATGTATGTAGTAATATACATTTAAATGATTTGTTGAAATTGTTTAGTTTTATATAAATATGTACATAGATATGAATAATATATACATTTCTTAATGTGGGTTGTAGTTAAGACATTTTGAAAGCCTCTACTCCAAACTGTATCTTTACCATCCTAAGAGATATGTTTATTGTGTGGGTAATAGTGGTGTTGGTTTGAACTCCAGAGGGTTTTCTTGTCTTTTCAGGTCTATTACAAGAATTTCATCAGAGCAGTGTAGCAATATAGGTACAATATAGGAAATTTAAGGTAGTTCTTCTATTCTTAAGCCAACTTTATCTTCTTGGCTAGATCGTGCTATAGTGAAAGATTTGCATGCATGCGTGTGTATGTGCCCACACATACAGAGGACAGGTCAGTAGGATTCAAAAAGCACCTATTTGCCTATAGTAAGTATAATATTGTTTGGTCTTTAAACCAGCATTATTACTGTTTAGAGAGAAGTTTAACAGATATCTGGGGTAAGAACTTCTGTCTACAGTTAAGACCTTGCTTTCTTGCTGCCATTTTATAGTAATGTGTACTAGTAGCTAAGACTTTCCTATCTAAGCTCAGCAAGCTCTTTCTCTCATTTGCTACTAAGGCCTAAACAGTTGTTATTTTACTTGGATGAGTGACTGGAGGTGTTTTGTTTTATTTTCCTTTCTATTACTGTAAACACAACATGAATTATTGCTAACTATATGTCCATTAGATCTCTAGAACTTTTACAGCTTGCATGACTGAAAACCTCCCGTTTTCTCTGCCCCTGCTAGCCCTTGGCAGCTGCCATTGTGCTTTCCGCTTTTATGAGTCTGACTGCTTTAGATATCTCATGTAGGTGGAATCATGCAGTATCTCTCCTTCTGTTACTGGCTTATTTCACTTAGCATAATATTCTCAAGGTTTGTACATGTTGTAGCATATATCAAGACTTCTTTTTTAAGGCTAAATACTATTCCATTATGGGTATATACCGCATTGTCTTAGCCATTTATCCACTGATGAACATTTAGGTTGTTTGTACCTCTTGGCCATTGTGAATAATGCTGTCAATACTGTTTTCAGTTCTTTTTTGTATATACCCAGAAGTAGGATTACTGGATCATATGACAGTTCTATTTTTAGTTTTTTTGAGGAACCTCCATACTGTTTTCCATAGGAGCTGCATCGTTTTACATTCCCATCAATAGTGCACAAGGGTTCTCATTTTCTCCACATCCTCGCCAACACTTACTGTTTTCTTTTTTGATAATGGCTATCCTAACAGATGTGATGTGATACCTCACTGTAGTTTTGCTTTGCATTTTTTGGATGATTAGTGATGTTGAGCATTCTTTTCCTCTACTTGTATACTTGGAGAAATGTCTGTTCACATCTTTTGCCCATTTTTTAATCCATTTATAAACCAATTGAGTTTTGTTTTTTTTTCTGTTGAGTTTTAGGAGTTCCTTTTATATTTTGGATATTAACTCCTTATCAGATACATGGTTTGCAAATATTTTCTCCTACTCCATAGGTTACCTTTTCATTCTATTGATTGTTTTCTTTGCTATGCAGGAGTTATTTAGGTGACATAGTCCCACTTGTCTAATTTGCTCTTATTATTTGTGCTTTTGATGTCATATCCAAGAAATCACTACCAAAACCAGTGTTGTAAAATTTAACTTTTCCTCTGTATTTTCTTCTAGGAGATTTGTAGTTTTAGGTTTTACATTTAGGTTTTTTTGAGTTAAATCATTTTGAATTGATTTTTGTGTATTATGTAAGGGTCCATTTTTACTCTTTTGCACGTGGGTATCCAGCTTTCTAGTACCATTTATTGGAGAGACTCTATAGTCTCTTTCCCATTATATAGTCTTGCTGTTGTTGCCGAAGATCACTTGACTATATATGCTGAGTTTATTTCTGGGCTCATGATTCTGTTCCATTGGTCTGTATGTCTTCCTGCCAGTACCATACAATTTTGGTTACTGTACTTTTGTAATATGTTTTGAAGGAAGTGGGATATTTCCAGCATTGTTGTTCTTTCTCTAGACTATTTTGACTAGGGGTGCCTGGGTGACTCAGTCAGTTAAATGTCTGCCTTTGGCTCAGGTCATGATCTCAGGGTCCTGGGATCGAGCCCCATGTCGGGCTCCCTGCTCAGTGGGGATTCTGCTTCTCCCTCTCCCTCTGCCCCTCCCATCCCCCACTTGTGCTCTCTCTCAAATAAATAAAATCTTAAAAAAAATACTGTTTTGGCTATTCGAGGCCCTTTGTCATCCATATGAATTTAGGGATTTTTTTTTTTTAAATGATTGAGGTTATCTTAAAGAAAATGGAGATGGTAGTAAACAGAATTGGAAGAGGGTTGACCAAAGTTAATTGAACACACGGTCAGGAGACCCATCATCTACCCTTGTTAAATAGAAAAAGTTAATTATCCTTGATTTATATTTGTCATAGATGATACCTGTGTTCCTTTCCAGTTATGATAGGACTCTACATTTTTAAAAAAGATTTTATTTATTTATTTGAGTGAGAGAGTGCACGCACATGCATGTACAGAGGGACAGTAAGAGGGAGAAGCAGACTCCCTGCTGAGCAAGGAGCCCAATGCAGGGCTTGATCCCAGAACCCTGTGATCATGACCTGAGCCAAAGGCAGACGCTTAACTGACTGAGCCACCTAGCTGCCCCAGGATCCTACATTTTTATCAATTTTCTGATACTAAGAAATGTTCAAGGGTTTCCAGAATGTACACATTGAACTATTTTTTTTTTTTTAAGATTTTGTTTTTAAGTAATCTCTACACCCAATGTGGGGCTTGAACTCACAACCCCAAGATCAAGAGTTGCATTTACTGACTGAGCAATCAGAGTTGCTTTACTGACTGAGCCAGCCAGGTGCCTCACGTTGAATTATTCTGAAATATACTAATATCCTATTTAAAGAACTGATGGTGATTATTAGTACCGCTGGCAGTTTCTAGAAGTGATTGTGTAACTGAATGCTTAGTAATGATTGATGGAAAATTGGGGAAGAGGAAAGGAGGAAGTGTGTACAGGGCATTTTAATTAATAGTAGTGTGTGCAAGGTCCTGAATCTGAAAAGAACTTGGCATATTTAAGTGTGGTCAGTGGGTAGGGGGAGGATAGTAAGAAACGAGGGAAAAAAATTTAGGTAAGAACCTTTGTAGACCATGATATGGAGAAAGTATATTGGAGGTTATTGGAAAGTTTTAGCAAAGGAGTGATAGGATTTTATTTGCATTCTAGAAAGATCACTTTGGGCTCTTATGTGAAGATAGCAGATTTTGGGGGCTGTTGGTCGGGAGAGAAACTTGCAGATGAGTCAGAAGGCTGCTACAGAAATTCATGAGAGTTGCTTATTCTGGGTTGATGGTGATAGTTGAGTTGGCAAGAAGTGGACACATTTGAGCTGTGCTTTGGAGGTAGAGTTGACAGAATTTGCTGGTAGATTGGATATGATGGGTTAAGGGAGAAGGGAAGGAAATGACAAGAATGAGTCTGAGGTATGACGTGAATACTTGGGATTGCTGGGGTATGATTCTGTATTCTGAGATGGGAAAAACTGGACGGTAAGTTTGGAGGTGAAGTTAAGTTTAGGTGGGAGGATCAAGAGCTTGCTTTTGGTTGTGTTAAATATAAAATGCACGTGAGACATCTTAGTGGATGCGTCTAAAAGATAGTTGGCTAAGAGTGTGGCATTCCTAAGAGTGGCCTGGGCTGGAAGTAATTCATTTAGGAACTAGCTGCAATGTAGATATGATACTTAAAACCATTCAATGGTTAAGGTTACTTAAGAGAGGAA